TTTAATACTAACTTGATGCTCAATTTATCATCCTATTAAAAAGATGGAGGAGAGTTAATGTACTGAAAAACTGTAAATAAATTTATTGCGAAAAATATTACCTCGGTCGAGAATTCGGATCTTTTGTATTTTGTACAAGCATTTTAAGTTTTTAGACCGAGGCCTTAATAATATTCCCCGCAACAATCGATATGTAGGAAAAATAACGTATTTTTCAGACAATGGATTTAAACAATATTTAAAAAAATAAAATATATTTAAATTTAAACTAAAAATATAACATTTCTTTTCTTTTAACCATTGTATAATAATTATAAGAGTGTAATGTCATTTGTAGCTCAAATTTATATATAATTCTATATTTAAAAAATTAGTAATTGTATCATTCGATACAATTACTAATTTGCTCGATAGAGCAAAGTTTCAATTTTAAGAATCTCATTTTTTAATTGCGATATGATGATTTTTAACAGAGTTATGAGCAATCAAAATCAGAATATGCTACGAATATATTTAAATAAATATTTAATCTGCATATAACTTGGTAACAAAGAGATAATCTAGATAGCACAAGGACGTTCTCAGAACAAATAATAAGGACATTCTCAGGACAGGTTTCTGATCCGGGATATCCTGAGGATATCTTGTGAAACATCAAATGAGCATCTCAATGTATTCTCAGAAGATTCCGACGATGTCCTGTGGACGATTCCTTCTCTGAAGATCCCGAGGATATATTCAGGACTCTCATAAGATCTTGTAGAAAAAAATAATCAGGTAGAAAAAAATAAATTTTTTTTGTTATTACTTTTTATTTTTACAGTCTAATATATATTTTTACTATTTCGTATACCTATATTCTGTCTTATTAACTATAAATAATTATTGAAAAACGCATCGCTAGTAAGATTTGAATCTACGATTCCTAGAATGGTAGCCTAATACATTTACGCTGAGCTAATCGCACGCTTGTGATCAAGTCATTGCCAATGTTATACCTCCTACTGTAAACAATCTGTTTTAATTTCATGCCTCTGCTAACAGTTTAATATTATTAATATTTAAGAAGATTACATAGAAAAATGAAATAATACGCTGGTATTTATTAACTTAGTTAGGAAATGACAATGACAAAATCCTGAAGATGATGTTAGACTATCCCCAGGTCTTAAGGCTATCCTTAAGATGTCATAAGGTTGTCTCCAGAACGTCCTGAGACTGTCTTAGAAAGTCCTGAAGATAACGACTTGAGGCCGTCCTAGGATGTCCCTATCCTAAAAGTCCTAAAGATGATGTCCTTAAGCTATTCCCAGGACGTCTTAAGATTATTCTCAAGATATCATAAGGCTGTCATCAGAATGTCATTCTGAGGCTGTTCCCAGAACGTATCTGACGATGCTCTCAGATTGTCCTAAAAGTGTCCTAAAGATGATACTCTGAGGATATCTTCAGGACGTCCCTTGGATATATAAATGTCTTCAAAATGTCCCCAAAATGTCCCAAGACGTCCTGGGACGATCCTGAAGACGTCTTATGCTGTCTGGGAAAAGGAACATTTTTTAAAAACAAACTTTTAAGAAAAACTTTAAGCTTTCACGTTAGATTAGTCGAAAATTTCATAACAATATATTCTGTATATAATTTTGAGCTAACAAAATATCGCAGAGAACTTTTCCTCTGATCCAACATTTCTATGAATTCAGATGTTAATGCTAAGACAAAATCATTT